TCTCTCTTTCTCTGTTTCATCCTGAACCCCATCAAGCACACTTCTGCACAGGGCCTTTGCACTTGCCACTGCTTCTATACAGCAGTGATTTATGTGTGATTGCTCCTTGATACCCTCTGATCTTTGCTGGAACGCTATACTTTTCTCAGCAAGGCCTTCCCTGGCTATTAGAACTTAATTTCTACTCCAGCTCTTTCTTCATCATTCAGCTATTTTCTTGCCTCTTACTGAGCTGTGTGCATGGCTGATTTTGACCTTGTACTAGAGCTGTCTGTCTGTCATTGAAGACTCTCTTAGGCAGGACAGGAAAAACTTCTACCTTGAGATTTACAAAAAAGGGGCTGGGAAGGTGGCTCAGTGGTAGAGTGCTTGCCTTGCATGCATGAAGCCCTGGGTTCTATCCCTCAGTACCACATAAGCAGAAAAAGCCAGAAGTGGCACTGTGGCTCAAGTGGTAGAGTGCTAGCCTTGAGCTGAAGAGCTGTTCAGGCCCCACAACCGACAAAAGTTTTCTTAATGGCACTGGAGATTGAACATAGGGCCTTACATGTTGGCCAGACAACCCCTCCAGCGTGCATTTTGTTTTTTGTCTGGGCTGACTTGGGATTACAGGCATGCACCACCATACCAAACCTTGCAGGGTTTTTTTTTTTGGCAGTCCTGGGGCTTGAACTCAGGGCCTGGGCACTGTCCTTGAGCTTCTTTTGCTCAAGGCTAGCACTCTACCACTTGAGCCACAGCCCCACTTCTGGCTTTTTGATGGCCACTCTGAGATTAAGAAAATCTCTCATTGTTTTAGCCACTATTAAATTGAGCCTGCATCCTGTGACAGCATGTCCCTGCCACACAGCAGACTCCCTAAACACCCATGCTGTTCCATCCTCAGCTCCCAGCTTGACTGCGGGAACAAGTTAGGAGGCACCTGGTAGGGCTCTGTTGGTTTGGGTGAATGGTGCCCTCTGCCGGCAGAGAGAGGAAGTATCTTTGGCACATACACAGCAGTCAGACCACTGAAGACATTTCCAGCAGCCTGGGAATCTCTAGGAATTCCTTCTGCTGGAAATGCATTTTCCACCCACGGTGGGAGTGTGGAAACAAAGGGGACAACAATTGCCCGATATCCCCTTGACCTCCACATTAGCAGTAACAGCAGTGACACGTAGCCCTTGTATGCCAGGCACCCTTCAGGGCACTGAATAGATAGGAACCCAAGGTACAGGATGGAGCAACAAAGCAACTTCTCCAAGGACCTGAGCCTGCACTGAGCCTTGCTCTCACTGGAGGCGGCTTCCATGGAAAGGATTTACCTCCTTGGGACTGGACTCATAGTGGGCTGGTCCCAGTGTGACTGCTCCCTCCCAACCCCCCAATACTGTAACACTGCCATCACTCCCTGACTGGCCATGGCTAGGCAGGGCCCTGACTGGATCACCAATATCCATGTGGTGGGTCCCAGTGGTTAAGGAAGAAGAGTGAGGGAGGGGTTAGGAATTCGGGGCTTCAGCTACCTGCCCACCTCGGCACATGGGAGTTATTCCTTCCTTTGGGGAGGAGAAAAAAAAAAGGATTATCAGCAACAAGGCTTGGTGGATCTCTGCCCTGCTGCAGAGAGGGAAAGAGTTCTTTCTTTAGAGTCTTTTTCTTTCTATAAAATGCCCAGGGTAGTAACTGGTTACCAAGTTCAAAGCTAAGAGTTCAGGGCTGGGAATATGGCTTAGTGGTAGAGTGCTTGCGTAGCATGCATGAAGCCCTGGGTTCGATTCCTTAGTACCACCTAATCAGAACAAGGCAGAAGTAGAGCTATGGCTCAAGTGGTAGAGTGTTAGCCTTGAACACAGAGAAGCTCAAGGACAACACTCAGGCCCAGAGTTCAAGCCCCAGGACCAGGAGAAAAAAAAAAAGCTAAGAGTTCCAACTCCAACCAGTTATCTTAGACTGTCTGTCAGCAATCATGATCTCCACCTAACACCCCACATTAGACCCTGGCGAATTGATTCAGTAGTCTGAGAAGATGGATGTCCTGGAATGCCTGATATTGTTATTGACCAAAAAAACAAGCAAAAAAAAAAACTTGAAGCTACTTAGTGGGCTGAGATATGAGGATCCCAGTTCAAAGTCAACCTGGGCAAACAAATCCAAGAGATTCTTAGCTCCAACAGCAACAAGCTAAAGTGGAGCTATGGCTCAAGTGGTAGAGAGAGCAAAAGAGCAAAGTGAGAGTACCAGGCCTCAGTTCAAGCCCCAGTACTAGCATGCACAGATGCACACTTTCGGTTGTGGGCTTGAACTCGGCCTGGGCACTGTCCCTGAGCTCTTCAGCTCAAGGCTAGTGCTCTACTACTTTAAGCCAAAGCATCACGTCCAGTTTTCTGGTTGTTAATTGGAGATGCAAGTATGGACTTTCTTACGTGGGCTGGCTATGAACTGCAATTCTCAGATCTCTGCCTCCTGAGTAGCTAGGATTACAGGCGTGAGCCATCAGCACCCTGCTTTTCTTTTTCCCTGCCAGTCCTGGGGTTTGAACTCAGGGCCTGGTCTGTGTCCCTGAGCCTCTCTGTGCTCAAGGCCAGTGTGCTCTACCACTTGAGTTTTTACACCACCACTTCTGGCTTTTTCCTGTTTATATGGTACTGAGGAATCGAACCCAGGTTTTCATGCATGCTAGGCAGGTACTCTACCACTAATCCACAAATCCATATTCCCAGCCCACACACAACCTTGAATTTTTGTTGTTGTTGATTGTAGGGGTTGAACTCAAGGCCTGGGCACTGTCTCTGAGCTCTTTGCCAAGGCTAGTGCTCTACTACTTTGAGCCACAGCTCCAACACCTGGTTGAGTGGTTAATTGGAGTTGAGTCTCACGGGAACTTTTCTGCCAGGGTTGGTTTTGAACTGTGATCCTTGGATCTCAGTCTCCTGAGTAGCTAGGATTACAGGTGTGAGCCACGGGTGCCCAGCTACTTATGTTTATAGCACTGGAGGCAATGGGCAAGGCAGCCTGTGTGCTGTTGTGGATCCAAACAAAATGTGGGTGTGATACACAGAGGGTGAACAAGAGAAGGATGTACAACATATGGTGGGAATCACAAAATGTGAGGGATTAGCAAGTCAAATGTTCAGGTGGTCCCCATTAGCATGTCTGGCCATGTGTTCTTTTGCTGCGTGTGTGGCTAGTGCTCACTTGCGGAGTCGTTAATAATGGTGGCTGAGCAGCTGAAAATATTTCCATAGGACTTGAAGAGCACAGACGTAAGCTATCACTTTGCCCATGGGAAGCACTCACCCCTTCTACACCCCCTTATCAGCAAGAGCAGCCCAGGGGGATCTAGAGGCTGCCACTCAGGAGAGGCAGGAAGGGGCGTTGGCCCAAAGGCTAAGCCAAAATGGACCAAAGGACACAGGAGAGGGGCTGGGAAGATGGCTCAGTGGTAGAGTGCTTGCCTTGCATGCCTGAGGCCCTGGGTTCGATTCCTCAGCACCACATAAAAAAAAAAAAAAAAAAAGACACAGGAGAAATCTACCCAATCTCTCCTCCCCTTCTTGTGGGATGGTAAGGATCAAAGCCAGGGTCTGGTGCAGGCTAGGCAAGTATGTTACCACTGGCTCACGCCTGTAATCCTAGCTACTCAGGAGGCCGAGATCTGAGGATTGAGGTTCAAAGCCAGCTTTGGCAAGAATATCTGTGAGCCTCTCATTTCCAATAAACCAGAAAACCGGAAGTGGCGCTGTGAAATCAAGTGGTAGAGAGCTAGCCTTGAGCTGAGGGACAGCACCCAGGCCCAGAGTTCAAGCCCCAGAACTGATGAGGGGGGAAAAAAATCAGCTGTCAGAGCCTTGGTGGCAAATCTGAGGGCGCTTGAGCATCATCTGGTGGTAGAGTCTTAAACCAGACAGTGGGGTCCACCCCCGGGGGCGGGGGAATCAGCTGGTGAGGCTGCTGCTGCTAATCTGGGCGCCGAGGATTGCTTGAAGGACCGAGTTGCTCTCTGGGCAGGAAACATTCATGGCAAATGGGACAAGCCCTTGAGCTCTACTTCAGCTTCTTTGGGTTCACTGGAGACAAAACTTTCCACTTCACTTTAACAAAGACACAAGTGGAATCATACCATCCCTGCTGCCTCTGTCCTCTCTCCCGTATTCCTGCCCTGGCATTGTCCAGTATGATGTCTTGATGGGTTCTCTAATTTTCCATTTTGCTTGATTTTGATGAGGATCAGATTTTTGTTTCTTCTTTTTTGTCTGAGACTGGAACTTAAAGTCAGTTTCTAGCGCTTTCACTCATTGGCTGATGCTCCACCACCTAGGCCACGCCTCCCTCTTTTTTTCCCCCTCCCTCCCTTCTGACAAGATCTCACTATGTATATAGCTCAGCCTAGCCTTGAATTCATAATCCTGCAGCTCAAGTGCTGAGATTACAGATACGCCCTACCATGCCCAGCCCTTGCATCATTAAAAACAACAAAACAAACCCAAACCAAAGGCAGTGAGGTGATTCTTTAAAGCAGGAAAATCCCAAGACTACTTATTAGGAGGATCACTGAAAGGAAATACTCAAAAGTTAACTGTTGTCTGGCTGTAAAAGTTTTGACCCTATGTCCACAGTAAACCAACTAGCACAAACAGCACTTGTTATATGCCAGATATTAAGTCATTTAATCACTATAACCACCTCCCCCACACTGCCCATTTTGTAAAAAAGAGTCTGAAGCAAGTTCAGGCTAGGTGGCCTAGCCTGGCCACTGGCGACACTCAGCCCCAGGGGAAGGAGGTTGTTAATGGTTCCACAATGGAATGGCTCTGAATTTCCAGGAGGGGGGGAGGTCAGCACCCCGCATCCGGGCCTTCCTGGATCCTTCACAAGGTCTCTCCTGCTGGAGTAGCGGGGCGAAGCTTTGGAGAAGCCATCCTTTGACACAACCCCGAAAAACTTCAAACCCACTGAACTGAACCCTTGCCGTGGGTGAACGAGTATGGAAATTAGATAATCCACTCTCCAGACCCTTCTGGGAAAAGTTCCTTTAATAAAAAAGTTCTAATACATTTACACGATTGTCATCACCCTCCAATCTACGGCACGCCACGGGGAAAATTAAAAAAATAGGGGGAAAATTAAAAACAAAACAAAACCAAAAACATACAGAACCACCTAGACATCCACAGATAAAAATGCAGTGATCCAGCCGCGTGCAACGCCTCGGGCCTGGAGAGCGGAGAGGCATGAGGACCAGCGCCGGGCGCGTGGGGGGTGAGGCGCGGGGACATAGGAGACCCAAGGGGACACCAGGGACCGGCCTGGAACTCTTTGAATATATCATTAAAAACAAAAAACAAACAGCCCCCCCTGCCCCAAATCGGATCAGTTTCAGTAATAGGCCTCTGTCCAAAGAAAAGGATCCATTTTTTAGAGGGAAATGCCACATGGGGCATGGGAGAGGGCTGAGGCCTGGGCCAGGGCCTTGGCTGAGCACATTACAGCAGGTGGGAAACTGCTGGAAGTTCAGCTCCTGTGGCCATCTGGACCCAGGGCAAGAGGTGGTGGGTGTTGAAGGTATCCATGTCTTCCACTGTCAATGGCCTAGAACCCAGCTCTGAGCGCCAGCCTTGCAGCCTCTGCCCTCCAGGCTGCTGAGCAGCGCCCCTAGTTCCTTGGGGGCGGAGGTGATGGAGGGGAGCCAACCCCTCTGGGAGAAGCTGCTGTGGCCAGATGTTCAGTCCCTGGGCCTGCGGGCCGGCCTAGTCCTCCTCGCCGCCGCCTCCGTACATGTCGGCCAGCTTCTTGAAGCGGTTGCCCCACTCGCTCAGGTAGTTGTAGTCCTGGTCCAGGTCGGAGGCGGAGGACGTGAGGGAGCTGAGTGACGCCGCGTCCGAGCCGCTGCCCTCGTAGTCGAACACGAGCAGGGAGTCGTAGGGCGGGGCCGTGGGGTCGGTATTGGCCGCCTTCAGGTTCTGCCACAACAGAGAATGGCCAGTGAGGAGCCGCTGACCTCCAGGTCCTGGGCAGGCAGGCCAGCTGGCCTCGCCCTCCACTTCGGAGGTTGAAATAACTCAAGGAAGGAAGCGTTCAGCAGGTCAACTCAATGGGACATGGCTTGTGGGCAAGGGTGGCGCTGTCCCCCCCCCCCACATACACTCATTTTGGGACCTTGGACGGCCAGACTCTCACCAGTCTATAAAGAATAAAGAAGCTGGGCACCGGTGGCTCACACCTATAGTCCTAGCTACTCAGGAGGTTGAGAGCTGAGGATCGTGGTTCAAAGCCAACCTGACTGGAAAGTTCACAAGACTATTCCCAATTAACCAGCAAGAAGCTGGAAGTGAAAGTATGGCTCTAAGGTGTAGCCTTGAGTGAAAAAATTAAGGGGCAGCCGGGTGCTGGTGGCTCACGCCTGTAATCCTAGCAACTCAGGAAGCTGAGATCTGAGGATCACAGTTCAAAGCCAGTCCAGGCAGGAAAGTCCATGACACTCTTATCTCCAGTAAACCACTCAGAAAACCTGAAGTGGCGCTGTGGCTCAAGTGGTAGAGCACTCGTCTTGAGCTAAAGAGCTGAGGGAGAGCTCCAGGCCCAGAGTTCAAGCCCCACAACTGATGAAAAAAATACCCTAAGGGGCAGTGCCCAGGCCCTGAGTTCAAGCCCCAGTGTACACACACACATTCCTCTGATAACCACCGGGTCTTTAGTCCACAGCACCTTCTTCAAACCAGCTACCCTGTGCCATGAGCAGCTTCCCCCCCTCCCGCCCCACGCGGTTTTGGGCTCAGTACTCTTTCACACACACACCAGGGTAAGGAACAAAGGCTCACACCCATCGCATTATTGGTAGAAGGCAAGGAAAACTGAGGGAGGGAGGGATGGAGGAGAGAGAGAGAGAGAGAGAGAAAGAGAGAGAGGAAGGAGGAAGGGAGGGAGGGAAGGAGAGAGATGGGGGGAGGGCTGGAGCCGAGCCCAGCCCCTCTGCCCACGTCACCAAACCCACGGCCACAGCAGGTGCTGAATTCCTCTTTCTGTTATTAAGGACCTTGGCTTACTGTCTGGCTCCAGTCCCTGACCACCCTCACATCAAACTCGTGACTGACTCTGCGTGTGTGATCTGCTTGGCAGGGTCTCAGCCCGAGGGGGTCAGAGCCTCTCATGGTCTTTCAGGTTCCCCAAGTGATTCCAATGGCCGGAGGGTCCTTTGGGAGCCTCTGTGGCAGCCTTGTTCTAGAAGCTTCCTCATTTTACCCTGGAAGCAATCTACAGGCAGAACTTCCAGACTTTACCTCTACATCCTTTTCTTCCACTTGGGACTTTTTTTTTGGTCAGTAGTGGGGCTTGAACTCTGGGCTTGGGCGCTGTCCTTGAGCTGAAGAGCTCTGCCACTTGAGCCATACCACCATTTCTGGCTTTTGCTGTTTATATGGCACTGAGGAATTGAACCCAGGGCTTCATGCATGCCAGGCAAGCACGCGTCACTGAGCCACATTCCCTGCTCCATTTTGAACTCTTTAAACCCCAGTAAGTCTAGCTCCACAGTATCTTCAAAATATAATGGAGAGATTTGAATAAATGATTCCTAACGTATCCTTACCCAGTCAGCCAAATGGGTTTATGAAGAAAGAAACCTGCACAGAGGCTCTTAGCAGAGAACATAGAGTCAACTGGTGGTAGAGAAACAGGATCTGAACCCACAGCCAAGCCTGCAAGCCCCAAGCGTGTTCTGCGGCGCTGCTCATGCACGAGGCCCACCGCACCTCACCTCGGTGATGAAGTTGCTGATCTCATCAGGGTTGGCGGGCCGGGGCCGGTACATGGGCGTGGGGATGAAGGTGGGCACCACATCATTGCGCAGGACCACCTCGGGCCTGGCCTCCAGCCCCCGGTGCAGCTGAGTGATATCGTAGTCCTTCAGGAAAATGAACAGAAGCACAGGGCTGAGATCTCCGCAGCCCCCGGCCGCTGTGCCTCACCCTGGGCCGCGCTGCTCCTGATCATGCCAGAGACCTCTAAAAGCCCCCATTTCCACCCTCCCCAGCCTCTCAACTTAAGCACGGACTTGAGGCTCAGTCGACTTGACCAGAAAGGCTATAGTGCTGGACTACAGTGATGGACAGAAGAGGAAAACTGGTGCTCTATTCTGTACTCAGGCCGAGGCCCCTGCCAAGGCTGGTCAGGGCTTGGTTGGGTGACCTTAACCCATTCCTGCCTGGTGGATGCCCACTCCACCCCTACCCCAGGCCCTCACCTGGTCCTCCTCACCACCACCCTCCTCGCCGTAGTAGAAGACATTGTCCCGTGTGTCATCTTCCGGGAGCAGGAGGGGCTCTTTGACCTTCCGTTTCCTTCTCACCAGTAGGAGGAGAACCAGCAGGAGGACTGAAATAGTTGGGGATGTGAATACTCACCCCGGCACAGGGCCTGCCACGACCCCCAGGCTCTCAGAAGCCCCACTGAAATTAAAACCCAGTCAGGAGCTGGTGGCTCACATCTGTCATCTTAACTACTCAGCAAGCTGAGATCTGAGGACTGCAGTTTGAAGCCAACCTAGGCTTCAACCTTTATTGCTGATTAATCAGCAAAAAGCCAGAAGTAGAGGTGTGGCTCAAGTGGCAGAGTACCAGCCTTGAGCAGGAAAAAACAAGTGAAAACCAACCTCCCCCCCTCCGCCCCAAATTGAACACACAGTGACTACTCCTTTGAACTTAGGAAGTTCCACTCAACTCCTCAAAGCTCCCACAATCTGGCTTTTTGTTGTTGGTGGTGGTGGTGGTTATGGGGTTTAACTCAGGATCTGGGCACTGTCCCTGAGCTCTTTTGCTCAAGGCTAGTGCTCCACCACCACTTCCATCTTTTGGTGGTTAACTGGAGATAAGAGTCTCACAGACATTCCTGTCCCAGCTAGCTTTGAACTGCAATCTTCAGATCTCAGCCTCCCAAGTAGCTAGGATTACAGGCATGAGCCACCAGCACCTGTCTGCAATCTGGCTTCCTCTTGGTCTCCCATCCTCTCCCCCCTTACCAAGGTCTAGCCACACCCGCTTCTCTAGACTTCCTCAAATCTACTCACCTGTGAAACACAGTTTCAGCCTTAGTCACCGCCTCCTAGCAGCAGTAAGCCTCCATCTTCCCATGTGGAGTTCTAGATCATACTGCCAGACATCCCATACAGGGGACATTGGCCCTTCCATATTCTAGGTGTTACCTTCTAATGAGCCCCTTATTCACCTCAACTAGCCACACTTGAACTGAACAGATAATCCACCATAAAGGGGCACCCTCCCGCCCTCCTTCTGTGGTGGCTCAGCTGGAAGGACACAGAGCATTTAGGGTTACTGCTATTTTCACTGCTGCTGGAAGCGGATTCCCTGGCCAGCTTTCTTTCTTTCTTTCTTTTTTTTTTTTGGGGTCCGGTCCTGGAGCCTGAACTCTGGGCCTGGGCGCTGCCCCTCAGCTCTTCAGCTCAAGGCTAGCACTCTACCATTTGAGCCACAGCACCACTTCTGGCTTTTTTTCTTTTTGTTTATGTGGTGTTGAGGAATCGAACCCAGGGCCTCAGGCATGCAAGGCAAGCGCTCTACCACTGAGCCACCTTCCCAGCCCCTCCTGGCCAGCTTTCTGATGCTCAATTCACTCCCCAATCCCACGCCACAGGTCTGAGAGAAAGCAAGAGCCAGACTGCATTTCCCAGTGCCCACTCATCTCTCTACTTACGGACAGACAAAAATTTCTTGCCCCATTTCCTTCTCCAACTGGTGAGCAGAAGGAAACCCCTGGTTTCTATCTCTCAGGCCAAAAGCTTTGACGTCTTTGGTGACTCTTCTCATATCAATTTGAATTGACTGTCTTGAAATACAACCTACTCAGAGACAGCCATCTTGGCCATAGCCACCAAACACTTGCTCTGCCCTGGATGATGGCAACAGCTGTCTGTATGGTCTTCCTGCCTCCACCCTAGGCCTCCAACATTCCTTTCAGTAGGAATCATGAAGAATTTACATCACAGGACATCACTCCTCTGCTTAATACCTTCTAAGGGGCTGGGAATGCGGCTTGGTGGTAGAGGGCTTGCCTAGCATGCAGGAAGCCCTGGGTTTGATTCCTTAGAACCACATGAACAGAAAAAGCAGAAGTAGCTCTGTGGCTCAAGTGGTAGAGCACTAGCCCTGAGCACAGAGAGGCTTAGGGACAGAGCCTAGGACCTGAGTTCAAGCCCCAGGACTGACAAAAGAACAAACAACAGCAATAAAAAAACTCCTAAGAACTTCCCATGTCACCAGCCTAGAGGATCACAGGCATGTGTCACTATATCCAAATCAAGAAGTACTTCTGCCAGCCAACTGGTTAGTGGTACTCAAGGTCCCTTAGTCTCAGAAGTTCAGAGAAGAACCATTCTCTCAACCACTCTGGTGTCAGATGGGGAAGCACGTGATACTCACACAGCAGGGCCAGGATGGCCCCCAGGATAGGGAAGACAAAACTGCCCTTCCAGGGCTCCGGACAGTCTTCCACGTGGCCATGGCAGTCACACACGGTGGCCCTGATCACCGTCAGCTGTTCCTTGTTGCCGAGGTCAGACAGAGAGAGGTACACATCATACGTGTCTTGCTTCAGGAACTTCTTCAGAGACAAGGCCACCGAGTCTCCTGGAGTGGGCGGGTGAGTCATTAGTCTTGGGGGCCAGGGGTGGTGGGAAGTAAGGACCCCAGGATTGAGGGCTGCTCGGCATCTGAGCAGAGTCCATCAAGAGTAGCCCCGAGCAAGTTACATTAGCACTTTAAGTGGGAGGGCGGCTCAGGGATAGAGCATGCGCAGGAGGCCAGGGTTTGATCTCTGTACTCAAAAGCCCAAAGGGCTAATGCCAAATTCACTGTCATGGAGAGGACTATGGAGAATGAAAATAAATTCATCATTTTATTTCTCTTCCTTCCTCTGTGTGTGTATGTGTGTGCGTGCGTATCAGTACTGGGCTTTGAACTCAGGACGTGGGCATTGTCCCTTAGTTTTTTTTTTTTTTTTTGTTGTTGTTCAAGGCTGACACTCAACCTGGTTAATTAGAGGTAAGAGTCTCACAGACTTTTCTGCCTGGGTTGGCTTTGAACCATGATCCTCAGATCTTGGCATCCTGAGTAGAAAAGGCCAAGAAACTATGGGACAGTGCCCAGGCTCTCAGTTTTTCTTTTTTGTGTGTCCGGTCATGGGGCCTGAACTCTCAGCCTGGGCGCTGTCCCTCAGCTCTTCAGCTCAAGGCTAGTGCTCTACCACTTGAGTCACAGCGCCACTTCCCGCTTTTTTCTTTTTGCTTATGTGGTGCTGAGGAATCGAGCCTAGGGCCTCATGCATGCAAGGCAAGCGCTCTACCACTGAGCCACCTTCCCAGTCCCGGCTCTCAGTTTAAACCCCTGTACTGGTATACACATAAAAAGATTAAGCATCTGTGCCGGGTGCTGGTGGCTCACGCCTGTAATCCTAGCTACTCAGGAGGCTGAGATCTGAGTATCGTGGTTCAAAGCCAGCCCGGGCAGGAAAGACCGTGAGACTCCTATCTCCAATAAACCACCAGAAAACCGGAAGTGGTGCTGTAGCTCAAGTGGTAGAACGCTCGCCTTGAGCTGAAGAGCTGAGGGACAGTGCCCAGGCCCAGAGTTCAAGCCCCACGACAAAAAAAAAAAGATTAAACATCTGTAACATGTGTGTCAGGAGATGGGGAGGAGGAGGTAGGTTACAGCTCTTCCTTCCCAGGGCAGATGTGAGCACCACCCTCTCCAGAGTGCAGCGTCCACAGCAAGCTCACTCAGGGTGTGTCCTCTACTATCACTGTGCTGGGCTCCTGACTCTTGCTGGGCAAGATTTGCTGGGCAAATCACTTCCTCTGTCTGGGTGGTTTTCCCATGTTTACAGGAAGGTTGTATGGATGAGAAAGGTTCTTTAGGGCTCAGAGGATGCTAGGGGCTAACAAACAGCATTTAGCTGCTATGCATTTTTTGTCGGGGGGCTGGGAAGGTGGCTCAGTGGTAGAATGCTTGCCTTGCATGCGTGAGGCCCCGGGTTCAATTCCTCAGTATCACATAAGCAGAAAAAGCCAGAAGTGGTGCTGTGGCTCAAGTGGTAGGGTGCTAGCCTTGAGCTGAAGAGCTGAGGGCCAGCATCCAGGCCCAGAGTTCAGTCCCCACAACC